GGGGGGGGACAGTGCTTTCTCTAACCGGCAGCCTCCAGATGTTTGGGCTAGGCTCCTCCCTGCACATCTGGAGGGAGAAGACCGAAGCAGCCCCCAAGAGGGAAGTCCAGGGTCTGTTAAATGGGGGTGGGCGGTGGGTAGCTGCTGTTGGTCAAGGCGGTAACTATTAAGATTTAGGGCAGGGGTCTTCAAACTTGGCCCTTTTATGACTTGCGGACTTCAACTCCCAGAATTCCTCAGCCAGCAAAGCTGGCTGAGGAATTCTGGGAGTTGAAGTCCGCAAGTCATAAAAGAGCCAAGTTTGAAGACCCCTGATTTAGGGACTTCAACTCCCAGAATTCCCCAGCCAGCCACGTTGGGGGTTGAAGCCCATAAGTCTTCGAGGTTGCAAAAGTTGGGAAGAAGGGAAAGCAAGGGGAGAGGACGAGGGCTCCCGAGCATGTACAGAGGCACAACTCCAAAAGGTCCAGGCTGAAGCCGGGTGGATCTCAGCGCAAGCGCAAGTTGTGTGTTTTTTCCGCTTTGTGTGTGCGCTTTGCGCAACAGGCTGTTCGGCTGGGGTCTTTTTGCACCAGCCGTGAACCCACCAAACCTTTTAGTTTGGGCCTCTGTAAAGCCCGATTGCTTTTATATATATATTTTTAAAAGACAACAAAGTGATCACCAGGAAGTATAAAACAATACAGTTTTAATAAATAAAACCAAGCTTTCGATGGCCTAAAACTGCCATCATCGTCAGGGTATAATCAGGATGCTGGGAGAGCTTGCTTATAAATACAGTCATGTCTGCGCACGGCTCCTAGATCTTGTGACAGGTCCCGGCCGGCCAATCCGGCCAATGTTTTATACTTCCTGGTGATCACTTTGTTGTCTTTTAAAAATATGTTCATACCCAGGAATCGATCTTCTATTTTTAATGTTATTTTTAATATATATATATATATATTAAAAACAGTACTAAAAATAAAAGAATGATTCCTGGGTGTACTCATAACGAGAGATAAAAAACGTGAACACCAGGAAACGTTTTAAAAACTATAAAAGTTTTAATAAGTTAAAATCAATATATAAAATCCTTCTATATATAGGTCTGGGATGCCCAGACCAGGAAGCTGGTCTGGGCATCCCGGCCTGTCACCAGCTTCCCTCCCACCTCGACTTACGACAGCTCTTTTAGTGACCGTTTGAATTTACAACAGCATTGGGAGGGGGGGAAAGAAGACACATGGCTGTTTTTTTACACTTCGAACCGTTGCAGCGTTCCCCCCCCCATGATCAAAATTCAGACCTTTGGCAACTGGCATGTACTTGGGACGGTTGCCATGTCCCAGGGGGGGGGGAGTCACAGGATCCGCTTTTGCAACCTTCCGACAGTCAAGGGGGTGAAAACCAGTTTCGCTTAACGACCGTGTTGCTAATTTACCAACTGCAGCTGAATGGCTGTGGCAAGAAAAGTCGTAAAATGGGGTGGGGGAGTTCAATTAACGACCATCTTGCTTGGCTTCGGAAATGGGCTGAACTGCAGTCGTTAAGCCGAGGACTAACTAGCAATCGCCGACCCCTTTTTTGGCCAACCCGCTGACGTAATGAATTACGACTGAAAGGACGGAAAGAGCACTAGTCCTCATGATCCTTCCTGGGGAAAGTAGGCCCAGGACAAAGATTTAGGCTGACCCAAGTTTTTTTTTTCCTACAAATTTTTTCACCCACAGGGCGTCTCGCTTAGCAACAGACATTTGGGGCTGAGCTGCAGTTGTTAAGCCGAGGACTGACGGTACATCTGTCTCTTTCTGGGTTTTAATTTTTTTCCCAATTTGAGGGCACCCAGAGAGCTGCGCCAGGCGTGATTCACCAAGACCAGGGGTAGGCAACCTTCGCTCTTTTATGACTTGCGGACTTCAACTCCCAGAATTCCTGAGCCAGCATGGGGGAACTATGGCCCCCTTCATGACTGGTGGACTTCAACTCCCAGAATTCCTGAGCCAGCATGGGGGAACTATGGCCCCCTTCATGACTGGTGGACTTCAACTCCCAGAATTCCTGAGCCAGCATGGGGGAACTATGGCCCCTTCATGACTGGTGGACTTCAATTCCCAGAATTCTGAGCCAGCATGGGGAAAACATTGGCCCCTTCATGACTCCTGGACTTCAATTCCCAGAATTCTGAGCCAGCATGGGGGAACTATGGCCCCTTCATGACTCGTGGACTTCAACTCCCAGAATTCCTGAGCCAGCCTGGCTCAACTTGAAATCCTCTCCCTTTTCCCTCAGCCTGGCTGGCTCAGGAATTCTGGGAGTTGAAGTCCACCAGTCATAAAAGAGCCAAGGTTGCCTACTCCTTAGCTAGATGATAGACAGATAGACAGACAGACAGACCATCAGGCGTAGGCAACCTTGGCTCTTTTATGACTTGTGGACTTCAACTCCCAGAATTCCTGAGCCAGCATGGGGGAACTATGGCCCCTTCATGACTGGTGGACTTCAATTCCCAGAATTCTGAGCCAGCATGGGGAAAACATTGGCCCCTTCATGACTCCTGGAGTTCAATTCCCAGAATTCTGAGCCAGCATGGGGGAACTATGGCCCCTTCATGACTGGTGGACTTCAACTCCCAGAATTCCTGAGCCAGCCTGGCTCAACTTGAAATCCTCTCCCTTTCCCCTCAGCCTGGCTGGCTCAGGAATTCTGGGAGTTGAAGTCCACCAGTCATAAAAGAGCCAAGGTGGCCTACCCCTGTGCCAGGATGAACTGAACTTTTGAGTTTGCCCAGCTCTTTCCCTGCCAACCTGAAAAGTGTTGTAACACCGACAGGTTGTTGGCAGCTGCTAGAGGTCCCTGGCTCCCGGCCTCTGGAATCGTGAAGGCAAAGATCCAGTTCTTGTGCAAAAGGAAAATAAAAAAAATTCTTCCAAACCCCAGTGTGTGTGTGTGTGTGTGTGTGTGGGGAAATAAATAAATAAATACAGCCAAGATGGCTGCCTACTCACTCGAAGCTTCCGGGCTCCCAGCAGGCTTGGCCAACTGGCTGTGGTTGACCGCTTGACCGTCCGCGCTCCGCTGGGCGGTCACCTTCCACCGGGGCCTCTGCAGGTCCTTCTCGCTGCCGTGCAACGGGATGAGCGTGTTGACCTGGGAATGGGGGAGGGGGAGGGAGGGGGGAGAGGAAAAGGATTTTTTATTTTATTTTTTTTAATTTTCAAAGGGAAGGAAGATGCCGGACAGAATCCACAGGCAACCTGTAGAGACTCTCCTCCAACAGAAGCAGTTTGGTCTAGTGGTTGAAGCACTTGGCTACAAAGCAGGAGTTCTAGTCCCGCTTTAGGTGTGTAAGCCGGCTGGGTGACGTTGGGCCAATCACCAGGAGACGGCGAGTTCTAGTCCTGCCTTAAGTATAAAAGACAGCTAGGTGACTTTGGATCAATTACCAGGAGACGGTGAGTTCTAGTCCTGCCTTAAGTATAAAAGACAGCTGGGTGACTTTGAGTCAATCACCAGGAGACAGCAAGTTCTAGTCCTGCCTTAACCATGAAAAGCAACTGGGTGACTTTGGATCAATTACTAGGAGACGGTAAGTTCTAGTCCCAGCCTAACCATGAAAGGCCAGCTGGGTGACTTTGGGCCAATCACCGGGAGACAGTGAGTTCTAGTCCTGCCTTAGCCATGAAAGCTGGCTGGGTGACTTTGGTCCACACGGTTGTTGTGGTGGGGAAAAGAGGAAGGGGGTGTGTTGGATGTTTGTCCCCTTGAGTTATTTGTAAAAGTAATAAAAGCTGGGATACAAAATAAATAAAAACCCAGTCCCGTCTGCCTCTCCTGGTAGGCCTCAAACTGCCTTAGACAAGCCACACACTTATACAGGTAAACCCTTGTTTGTCTGGTGTTAATCCCTGCTTATCTCAGTTTCTCTTTCTGCAGATTCCTTGCTGGTCTCCGAGCTTGGTGGTTTTTTCTTAAAGACCTTCATTACTCAACTAGGTAACGTCATCAGTGCTACAAGGAAGCGGGGTTTTCTCCCCATTTATATACCCTGCCAGCGATGGTAGGGGTGTGATTTTTTTCCCGTTGATAGTTCCTTGATTGGGGTATTGTTTTATGCTTGTTTGTCCGGTGCTAATCCCCGCTTATCTGGATATGGACTGGTGGAAAGAATATTTTATTCTCCAACGCAGTGCCCTCCAGACACGTGGCTGTACCCATTCCCAGAATGCCAGCTGTGGGATTCTGGAACTTCCCCCACTCTTGAGGGCACAGGACACAATATGGGAGTGGGCTTTCTGGACCACTGAGGAAGAGGGCGGATGAAGGAGAGAAACTGAGAAACTCAAGATAAGCCGGGATTAACACCAGACAAACAACCAAATACTCCTCAACTTGCAATCAAAATTGGGACTGGAACGTCCATTTCTAAGCGACGCAGTTGCTAAATAACTCCTGCCTAATTTCAGGACTTTTGCCACGGGCGTTAAGCGAATCACACAATTGTGAAGCAAATCCAGCTTGGCCCCCTTGAATCGGCTTGGCAATCACGTGATTCCAGGACGCCCCGGTCATAAATGCGAGGATCGGGTTGGAAGTCACTTTTTTTCCAGCGTCATCATAACCTGGAACCGTTGTTAAGCAAATGGCCGTTAAGCCGAGGACTGGAAGGACTAAAACCTTCCCAACCGATGTAGGAGGGTCGCAGC